GTAGTAGTAGTAGTAGTAGTAGTAGGCATTGCAGTAATACGAATGGTCGTTGTTCTCATTTATTAGTAGTGGTAGCAGCAGCAACAGTAGTCGTGATTGGTGGTATGTGTGTTTTTGATGGTTGTGGTGGTGGTGTGGTTGATGCCGTTGTTGTTGTAGTTAGCGGTGGTGGTGGTGTTGTTGTTGTTGGTGCAATTGCTGTTGGATGTCGGTGCGCCGTCGCCGTTGTCGTTGATTCGTCCTCGCAACGGTTTCGTGTTCGTCGTCCCGTTGCTTCGGTCGTCGTCGCATTCGTTGTCTTTGTATTCGTTGTCGCGGTGGTCGTCGGGGCGGCGGGGGGGGCGTAGCCCTGTAATTTCAAGCGGGGCGAGCGGCGGAAACGGCGAAGCCATGGGAATAATCAAGTTTTGCAGACCACCCAGAGCGATCTGCGCCCCAGGCGTTCACCGCAGCACAGGCCCCACGCGCGAGGACATCCCAAGCGAAACGGAAGGTGAGGGAGCGGAATACGAGAAGGAGGACGAGGACGAGCATGAGGGGCATGAGGGATAGAAACATGAGGGGCGCGAGGCGAATGAGTATGAGGATGAGGAGGGGGCGGAAGAGGTGGGCGAGGAGGAGGAGGAGGAAGCATTCTATTATATTTGCGTGGGGGCGTGGGGGCGGGGGGAGAGGTGGAGGGAGTTGGAGGAGGAGGAGGCGGAGGAGGGGGAGGAAAAGGATGTACGGGTGCATGACCAGGCCCATGAGTCCTAGGTGGGTGAGGTATTTGAGTTGCTTGCGTTCCCCCGACGCCCAGCCCTCGAGCATGATACACCGTCTGAGCCTTGCACTCACAGAGCGGCATCATCCATCATCCTGCCGCCTCCTCCATCTCTACCTCCTCGTCCCCCTCGTCGCCGTCGCCCTCGCCGTCGCCCTCGTCACCCTCCGCCTCCGTGTTTTGGTTTGTGAGTGTTCTCCGCGCGTGGTTTCCGATGTGTAGTCTTTCTACTCCTCCTCCCTCCTCCTCCTCCTCCTCATCCTCCTCCTCCTCATCATCCTCCTCCTCTTCCTCCTCCCCATCCTTCTCCACCTCCCCTCCTTTGTTCCCTCCGCTTCCCTCCTCCTCCTCTTCCTCCTCCTCGTGCACGATCTCGTCCTCGTCGTCCTCCTCCTCCTCCTCGCGTTCAAATCTTAAGGTCCGTCGGCGTCGCGTTTGGCTAAGACTGCAAAGGTCCGACCGACCCGTCCACGTTTCTTCCCCCGCCCCCTTCTCTTCTTCGCCATCCTCCTCCTCGCCATCACCTGCGTGGTCGTGTCATTTCTCGAGTGCGTACGGGTGAGTGTGGGCTATTGCTGTTGGCTGCTCTTCTACCTCCTCCTTCGTCTCCGCCCCCCCCCCTCCTCGAGTTTCCTCCTCCCGCCCCCCCCCCCCTCGTCCTCCTGCTCCTCGTCGTCGTATTCGTCGTCCTCGCCGTTGTCGTCTTCGTCGCCATCGGTTTCTATGACGGGGTGAACTCTAGACGCTTCGCGTAACCCCACCAGCCCATCCAGAAACGACGCCTATAGGAAGTGCCTTGATCAGGGAAGCGGGCAGCACGCAGAGGAAGGGTCCCCCAGTGGAGGCCTCTTGGAGCGTCTTGGTGGCCTCTTGGCGGTCACGGGCGCTTCTTAGAGCGCCTTGGGTGCCTCGGAGAGCTTTTTTGGGGGGCCTCTTGGGGGTCTCTTGGGGGCCTCGTTGGGCCTTCTTAGAGTGCCTTGGGCCTTCTTAGAGTGCCTTGAGCCTTCTCTTGGGGGGCCTTCTTAGAGTGCCTTGGGGGCCTCTTAGGGGTCTCTTTGGGCGCTTCTCACTCGAGCTCACGCGCCTGATGTTCAGGACTGCACTGCTACCAGTGCTTCCACATTGTCGAATACTTGCGCCTCGCAAGCGACAGAGCTTGGCCAACGCTGCATGTGTCTCGCAAGCGACACTGAGCTCGGCGAAGAGACGGGCGCACAAACGCCACTACAAAAATAAACAAACTGGAGCGATGCATGTGTGGCAACAGGCGGTGCACATATGAAGCAGTTGCTCCTGGCTTGATCATAAATACATATATAGATATACACATATATTTACATATATATGAAAATGTGTATACACATGTTCAAATATCATAGGTACACATACGTACATACATAGATGCATATGTGCATATGATCTCTCATATCTTACCCCCCCGTTCCCCTGGGAGTCGCACCTATGCCAGCATCTTAAACTTTATCAGCGTAGCAGCAGGCGATGCACAAGCCCAAGCAATTGACTGCCATCGCGTTGCCTGAAGCAGCTTGGCTAGCACCCTTGAGGCTAAACGTGTCCGCTAGCTCGGATGGCAAACCCTGCATGGCGAATCTCTCGCCGAAAGAAAGGAAACGGCGATACTTGGGTGACTGCGCCGCCTCGACCCAGAGAGTGCCGTTGCGGGTCGTCAAGCACGGGCAGACGCCGTCAAAGCGCCCCTCTAGTTTGCGCACTTTGCCAGACGACCTCGACAGATCATAGAACCACACCTTGCCACGATCGCCTTTGCCTTCCTTGCAGCGGCTCCGACCCAACATGCGGTGCGCCGCCAAATTTTCCACCTGGGCGCAGCCGCAAAACAAATGCTGATGAGAGGGGGAATGATAATAACGCAAGCCTCGGCCCCCATGTCCGATTGGAATGCACCAACTATACACCAACACCGATCCTGGCCCAGGATCACCCTGGGCCCAGGATCGGCGCAGGGGCGAGCGGGGATAAGGGTGGAGGCGGTGGAGGACGAAAACGAAGAGCAGCAGCAGGGGCAGCAAGCATGACCAGGAGGAAGGGAGGGAGACACGAGGGGGAGCGGATCCGTGGATTGAGTGAGGGAGCGTCGATGACAAGGACCACGAGGTTGCGATTGTCGGGGTTGGAAGGGCTATTTTGCCGCAGCCCGTTCGGGCAGAAGCTTCATGTCCGACTGCGGCAAGAGGAACCGGACGCGCCGAAGGGAGTGCAATGGTGGGTAGTTGTGGCGGGCCAAGAGGCAGAGGATTGAGAAACGCGTTGGAAAAGGCGAAAGGCAATGAAGGACAAGGAGGATGATGAAGGTTGGGGTGGATAGCGTGCCCCCGCGGTCCTAAACCCCTCGCCCTCACGGATGGGTCCAGCTCGCGCCCCGAAGCATTCCGCTGCGAAATATGCGCGACATCTCTGATCTTATCCGCCAGACCCCCAGGAATATCATTTGTATATATATAATATTTTTATACGTACATATATGTGTGTATATGTGCACACTCATTCGTCATGAGGCTCTCGTGCCTCTCGCGGGATAGATGCATACACACGCATATATATATATATACATACATACACAGTGCATGTGTTAATATACAGATATGTTGTATAATGTGCAGACGCGTCCCCTCTTATTCAATCAACTCGGACACTTGCCCTCGCGCCTGCTTTTCGGTCAGACCAGCTTCCTTGGAGTCGAGGTCGGGATCGAGCAACTCGCGGGCATCGATCATCTGCACTGTGATCTCCGCGGGCGATATAGACGGGATAGGGCGCGAAAACGAGGCCACGCGCCTCCCGCATATATAGATCCTCTGCCAACAGAGGGGCCGCGGCCCAAGTAGGACGAGGAGGGGGAGGAGGGACAGGACGATGAGGATGAATACGATGAGAAGGTGAGGGCGGGGAGGAAAATGCGAGGATGAGGAGGGAGAGGAGGAGGAGGAGGCAGAAGAGGAGCACGATAAGGAAGACTCGAATTTCTATATGCGGGAATCCTTGGCCTGGAGTGGGGCAGCCCGTGCCAGACGCTGTCCACCTCCCAAAGCCAGAACTTGAACCCAGGGACCTCGGCGTTCAACTTTTTGATGATGCCGTCCATTGGGCTGGTGCCAGTTTTCGACCCGTTCTCGATCCCTTTGACATTCTCGATCAATACGGTTTTCAATTTCTTAGAGGGCCTAGCTGCTTGATCTTTCACATGTGCAATCGCGCCCTTGAAGGGCCTCGAGCGCTTGTCGTTCCACGAGCCGCCTGGGGGCGAGCGTGGATCTCGATAGAAAGGACGCAGGAGGACGAGAGAACTGGATCGAGAGAGCGAGAGGGGCGAGCAATGAGCTGAGGGAGAGGGGAGAGTGAGGGGGAGCTAGAGGGGGGGGAGGGGGACGAGAGAGCGAGCGAGAGTGAGTGAGCGCGGGGGAGAGATAAGAACGTTAGGGTATAGAGAGGGAGAGGAGAGGGAAAAAGAATGGCGAGAGAAAACGATAGACCCTCTCGGGCTACGGAGTGCGTGGGTCTGCTTACTGCATTGCCAGTCGGCCTGAGCCGCGTTGACTCCATGGCGGGCACGGGGGCCCAGCAACGATGATCTCGACGTCGGGGATGGTGCTCTTGTCGATGCTGCAGATGTCCCCCTTGTCCCCGATGAAAAACTTGCCCCCCTCGCAGTAATTCTCGTGCACGTGCCGGACGGCGCTCTCTAGGTTGGGGTCGGAGTCGAATGAATAGCTCACCACTTTGGCCCCCAGCTGAGAGAGCGCCACAGGCGCTGTCTCGACCCCGCAGCAAAGAGAGAGAACAGTAACCTTGCGATCTGCCAATCTAGCTGCCATGGGTTGCGCCGCCTCCAACCATGTATCAGCAATAACTGAAACACTCGTTTTTCTATATATATATATATATATATATATATATACTGTGCCCTGGCATGGTACGGGGACGAATGAAGTCTCAGCTTGAACCTTCGCTGAGGCTGGTCCGAAACCGTCGGCTGGGGGTTCAATCGGTGACAAAAGCATGTGAGATGCAAGGGTTGTACTTCGAATTGCTTAGACACTATGTTGCGTGCGTTTCCAGTTCCCAATTCGCTTAGACACTATTGCGTGACTTACTCAAACACTATTGCTTAGACGCGATTGTTTAGACATTATTGCCTAGGTACTCGGCTGGGCGCCCCTGAATCCCATCGTTCATTCCCATCGTCGCCCCCCTCCCGTACCCCGCGCATGGGCTCTTTAGGGTATTATGCCGCAGCGGTGTCATTTACGTTTCTGGGTCTGCTGGGGCTCCGTCGTGGCCCTGGCTGGGTCTCCTTTGGGAGCTCTGCCCTCAGCGCGCCCTCTCCCGAGGTGCGCTCCGAGAAACCGGAAGAGACGGAGCGCAAAGGAATGGCATAGGGAGGAGCGAAGGAGGATAGAGGGGAGGGGGGAGGGAGTGCACAGTTGGGTAGAAAAAATGAGGGTAGCAGAGGTGGCACATTGAAGTTGGACTGAGCTCCTCTAGCCCCCTCGCGGGGCTGTCGGGCTGCTTCCGCGGCCAGCTACTGGGCGGCGGCCAAGTCCGACGCCCCATGCAGAGGCGAGTCGCACATCCGATGCCCAGAGAGATCTGATTTGGCGGCAGGAAGGGGAAGAATGAGCAGGAGAAGGAAGAGGGCGAATTGAGTGGTAATTAGGGAAGAAGAGGATGAGGATAGTGTTTCAGATGAGGAGTGTGCCCTTCGTGACACGAGTATGTGATTCACTCGGCTGCGTGCTCAAGTGCTAGCAGCGTGCCACTGCGCCTGAGTCGCAGTGGTCGTTCTCCTCCTGCTCCTCCTCCTTCCACTGGCCTTCGTCGCTGTCGTCGTTGCATCGTGCTACTCCTCATCCATCCCCTCCTCATCGTCATCCTCCCCGCAGGCCCCATCCCATCACAGGCATTGCCAATGCCCTTGACAAGGATATCAAGAGAACGCAAATGACGAATTGTTCTCCACGTACGGGAGAATGCGAAGGCGTGCAAAAATCGCCTTGTCCCAGCGTCTCCTATGAGCAGCCTGGGCAATGCACTTAATGCTATGATTTAAAGATTCGTCCAGAAAGCACGAATGATATCTAGGATTCCCAGAAACTGGTATCTTTAATGTCATGTGTACTGCTTGGTGGATTTTAGGAATCACTTTTGCATTGGCCAATCTGAATAGATTGACGTACCTGAGAATCAATTCGACTAGTTGTCGGCATTACAGCCTCGGGACGATCCTGGGAGCTGTTTTCATGATGCACATGTACTCACATAAAGTCTTCCCCGCCGCGAGAAACATGTCACCCTGCCTCACTTGGCCGCTGAACCTCCCGAGAACATCCACTGCCCAGGGCAATAGGGTTCCAGTTTCTGCTGCCTTCGCTTTGGACGTTTGCCTCTCTTGGCTGCCTAACATGGTTCGCGTTACCACGGCCAGCCGATCGCACACCTTGATACCTTGTCGCTGATACCACCCCACCATATCATTGCACACCAACTTGCAGCACTGATCTATCCTAACCTGCATCGGCCCCACAACACCCCATACATTGCTGCCTATGAGTAGCCAGATCACCTGCGCAATGAATGACTGAATGACACCCAAATGGAGGCAGTGCAGCGTGTCGATCATGAGGTGTTCTTGGGGCTCGAGGCCCGTGGACGGGCAGAATATTGGGTTTCTCTTTAAACAACCATTTAACCTCCTGTGTAAATAATCGTGCCTGTCCCTCCAGAAAACAACTGAACATGGCACTGGCGTGTCAATGAAACGAGCGATGTCAGGAAGCTCTGCGCTGGGATCGAGCCTGTCGTGGGCCCGTAGGTGCAGCGACGGCGCATCGTTTGCCAATATCATGCCCTCTCGCAGTCTGGCGTCGGCTCGCTTGTCCCAATGAAGCCCGCCCTCTCCTAGTATCTTCAAACGGACAGTGTCGTCAAACATCAACCTCTATTTCGCACTGTGCACAAACAACAGCATATGCAACAGCATTCCCCCAAGCGCGCCCTGCAACTGAGACTCTTGCCATATCATAACCGCTTGGCCCACGTAGGTGCCACCGCGGGCGCGCCATCCACGTTCCTTCTCCACGGGGGGAGGGGGGGGGGAGGTGGCGCGTCGGACGAGGGCGGGGCGAGCAGCGAGAAGGAGAAGAGAGGAGGAGCAGGGGAGATGGGATACCAAACATATTGGACGCATCTTATCCCTCCCCAAGCTGCCCTGCCCCCCCCCCCCCCTCCCCTCTTGTGTTCGGGCGGGTGATTTCATCAGATGCATAGTATAGGTTGGGCTTCTGACACGCGCGCCAAATGCATGGCTTGTTAAATTACTGCCAGTTCTGAAATCCGAACGTGCTGCAGTGTTCCATCCAATCCCCCTTGATTTCTATTGGAACAAATCGTGCTTGGAGACGCTCTGGAAGCGATGCGAACGGGTCTCCTGGAGCATATTCGGATCCGTCCCAACGTTTGTTTGGTCGTATTCCCCGAATCCCTGCTTCCAAACACCATCTGAGAAATTGCATAATGGGGAACATAGTGCACCACCCCTTGCAGCCGCATTTGCATTGTTCCCTTGTTGATACACAACATATTGCATGCCGTTTTCCAGACGCGAGATTATTTGCAGTGAAATTTATCAAGCTGTCCTGTTTGCCTACTTGCGTGGCTCTTGTGTACCTCACCCCATCGCAGTAAAGTGCGATGGGAAACGCTGGCCTCGTATCCCCTGGAATATGTCGATGGCGGTGGTCTTCAAATGCCTTTTGCCAGACAGCAGCCCTGGCAGTGCGGATGATATGGCCTTCGTCTAATC